ATCTTCACAAGTCATAACCAATTTCAACTTATCAAATGTATCATCTAAAATCAATTTAGTAAACTTTATCCATCTTTGAGACCAACACAATCAAATCATAATTACACGTATAAAACTCTAATAAGACTATAAAATCAAACAAACAAAACATCTATTTCTTCAAACCAACCAATTCATGACATCCATCAATTCCAATTAATCAAAGTAGGTTTATATTACCAATAGCTAAAAAAACAATTTTAAACAACTAAGAATCTTTAATCACAAAAAAGACGTAACTGTATAAAAAAAACTCAAATCAATAATTTGATCATAGATCCTAATTGAACATAAGAACTCTTATCATGACCCTGTACATCAAACTAAAGATTAAATTACTTTAAAAAAATAAACAATAACTCATTTTATTTAATAAAGTTAGATGAAAAAGGTAAGTTTCATCATAAAAAATCTTACGCCATGATATTGAAACATATAAATAGAGGATTAAAACAATCTTTAGAAAACGATAAAGAAAAGAAAAAGTTATTCTTTTAAAACTTCTTAATAATAAAATAATCAAGTATTTATTATAAAAACTCTCTTTCTTAAAGCACTTTATAAAGTCTTATATTATATTATTATATTATAATTAATAATTAATAATTAATTTATAAATATTAATAATTTAAGTTATAATATTATTATATTTATATTTTAATATATAAAAATAAAATTTAAGTAATTTTTTATTTAAAACAAATAATTAACAAATCAAAATTGACAAATTTAAAACTCCGAACCAGTGTATTAACTTTTGTCGGGTCAACAAACCAACCGAGAGACTCAATTCGTTTTGTCATTCCTAATATATTCCAACTACATGCAATTTACACTCCTACTTTTATATTTGAAAGTGGAAAAAAAAAAGATATATTTGAGAAATTGCACATAAATATATTTGAGAAACTTGGAAATATGATGTATTGTGATAATAACAAATCAGTTTGTTGAAGTTTTATCAAATATAAATCAGAGTTATAGAAGGCCAACGAGGGAATGATAAATAGTGTTAAAATTTATATTAATTTTTTGAATAAGTCAATATCTTATTTATATGGGATTTGTTAAGTAACCATGAATATGCCAAATTGTTGTTTTATATTCTTAATTTAAGGAATATAAGATATTTGGCATGATTTATATGTGTGTAACAGAAGGTTTAACGAATGGTTCAAATAATTTTTTAATATATTTTAACAATGTAAATAAATAAAATATTAAAAATATGATAATTAAAAACATACTGAAAGAAAAAATTCCTTAATTACGTTTTTACAACGGCTTTATTATTAACCTAATTTCTCTTATAAATTACGAGACAGTGGCTTTATTCCTAGTAAAACAAAAGTTTAAAAAGACATTAATGAACTTTACCCAAACTTCAATAATTATCACCAGTTTTCGTAAAGATTGTAACTTTATATTCCTTTAAAGAAACGGATTTGTATTGTTAATGCTTAAGGAGATATAATTCTTGTTGATTTTTTTTAATTAATTATATCAAGCAATAAAACTATTTTGATTAACCTGTTTTAATTAGTAATACATTTATTATTATTTGTAACAAATGGACAGAAACAATGTTGTGTAAATCGTTGAATGCATCGATCATATTTCTTCCTAAAATTAATTAAATTACTCGTAAGAGTACAAATATAAACAACTAATACTATTGTGCTTTAAATAGAAATATATTTATATTTTAATTGAAAATGATTTTTTTTAAATAGAAACTAATAATTTTGATAAATTTGTTACTACTGGTAACTAATTTAAATTTTTGGTAGAAATTAGTTAATTAACAAATGCTGAAAAAAAAATATATTTTTACATCTTTTCTCATACATAATCAGCAGAAAAGTTTTTTCTTTTTACGTCAACGGTGATAGAAGTAAAGGCAAAAAAACAAGTTAATGGAAAAGATATACACTAATAAAAAAAACTTGTACCAATTACGTAAATTATAAAATAAATGAAATTAATATATTTTATGAATCTTCTTTCTAATTTATAGATACATCTCTTTTTTTTTTTTTAAGATAGTAACAATCCCTCTTATAACTATAATCACAATTAAGTTGTAGTTTTTTCCATGATATAATATTTTTCTTAGGTTATTTTCTAACTACTTAAAAAAAAATTATTCTTTAATAGTTTTCAGTTCTATTATCCTTAAAGATTATTTTTAGTAACATAATTTATTACATTTAGTTAATTTTTAAATATAACTAATGAAAAGTTATCATAAATTCATGAACATTAATTTTAAAGAAGTTTATAAAAAAAAATTAAGCAATAACATTCAAAAGTGATTATTATGTTTGAATTTTGAATCTTTAAAATACATGTAATATCTTTTAGGTAAACATGTTATCTAAATGAAGAAATTATCAATTTTGCTTTTCTTTCTCTCGCATATATTTCACACATTATCATGTAATTTATCTTCTAATCTTATAACATACTTTTGTTTTTATTTTCATAATTATCATAGCAATTTTTTTTCTCTTTAGATTTTTTTTATAATTTTAATAATAACTAAAAAAATGTATATTAACATTTACATAATTCATAATAAATTTAAAATATAAATTATACAAACAAAAAATATTTATTGAAACAATATTAAAAAGAGTTATATAAGAAAAAAAATCTCAAATATCTTTATCATGAAGATATATAATTCTCCTTGTAAATAAGAACGAGAATGTGAATCGTAATAATTAATATTGATATAATAGAAGTAAGTAAATTAATCAAGTAGCAAATTATAAAAAAAAAATCATTATTTATGGTTAAAAATCATAAAAGAATTGATGATAAGACAAGAAAAAAATCACAACAGTAAAATATTAAAAAAAGTAAAAAATATGGTGAATATTTTTTGTTGCCCAAAAAAAGAAAATAGAGGTCTCACTTCTATCAACATCAGAAATAAAATAAAAGGTATGATTCATAAATATTAATGTGTATAATTTATACAAAGAAAATAATCAGGATTCTAAAAAATATTTTAGGTTTTTTTTAAAGTAAAGGAAAAATTCAATTAATAATAAAAAATATAAAATTTAATAAAATAGAATAATTGACTATTAATTATTTTCTGGTGAATATTTTTTTAACATTTGGCAAAATATATATATTAAGTATATTTATTTATTATGAATTTCAAGTAATTATAGTAGAAATTAACAATTTTATTAATATTTAAATTATATCAGTAATAGTCATATATATTTTTTATTTTTTTTAATAAGCTATTTTTACTTTTTTTTAGATAATATGTTTGAACTATTTCTTTAAAAATAATAGTTTTTTTTTTATTTCAAATATTTTAGGGTTAAAGTTTCAATCTATGACAGTATGACATGTTGTGAATTCCTTCTAAGAAATAAATAATTACTAGATGAATATTCTTTAAGCCTTTGTTCTTTTTGGTAGATTTGGGAGAGATGATTTGAATGGATTTGAATAGATTTGAGGGTAATTTTTTAGTTATTTTTTTGAGTGGATTTGTGGATAATTGAAAGTGGATTTGGAAATAAAGTTTGTGAGAATTAGTGTAGGATTTGATTAATGTGATAGATTTTAAAAATTAGTTTAATTGGTAGAAATTCAAGATTACCAAAATGCCCCTAGTTATAAAAGTAATATAAAATGTTATTTATAAATGTTATATTTAATTGTAAAAATGTTTATAAAGAAAAAAAATTATGAATAATTTATAAAATTAATGTTTAAAAATTATAAAAATTAAATAATCAACTTATTTTTAATAAATTAGAAAATATAATATACCTAATTTTATTAAGATGTAGATCTTTATAAATTATAATATTAAAATATTTATTCAAAAAACAAAAAAATATATACCCTGTAACCGGTTACGCGTTAGCCGGCCAAAACTTAATTCTTCTGTAACCGGTTACACTCTGCTGTAACCGATTACGCCACCCTCATCGTTGCTTAAATTGGAGGACACATACGACTTTTTCGCGACAATCCACTCAAATCTCATAACAACCGCGGGTGACTGAATAGTGCAACCATTCCGCATTTCACCGCAAATTCGTCCGTACATTTCACTTCCATCAAACACATAACGAACTTAATTCCTGCTCGCTGTGAACAGTTAAATCGTTTCAAAAAACACAACGTAACAGACATCAGCCACTGCTTTAATACTAATTATTTATTTTGCTTGGAAGGTGGTGGGGTTCGTGATCTAACAGTACCATGAAAAAGTCATTATCAGTTTATTAATTTATTAAATAATTATTTTTAAATTAGATATCTGTGGAGTGTACAACAGGACTTTGCGCAGTTCAAGATGTACCATTTAATTTTTAAATACTCACTTTCAAAAACAATCTTATTGTTCATTCTTCTTTTTTCATATTATATAAAGTGAGTGGGATTAAATGTATTTAAATAGTAGTGTGTACATTAAGCTTCTGAAAATTATATATATACGATGTTTTAATTTCAAACTATCATTGAAAATCAAATTGACCAAATTTGCGAGAATTTTATCTGTTAACTAGTGTGATAGATATAATTATTAAATAAAATAAACCAGAAATCAGTAAAGTCTCAATATTTTATCTAAACGAAAAGATTCTTCTTCCTAACTATTTTTGTAACGAATTTTACTTTCATTAACATGATTCATTTTATTATTTTACTCTTAAATTTTTTAATTCAGTTAATACTTATAATAAAATTTAATTAATATAATACAATTCTAAAATTGATTTATTTTATTTTTTATAATTTAATAACGTTTTTATTCAAATAATCATGCAAAGATATTCTCTAGAAAAAATACTTGTAGTTGCACTTATCTCCATAAAAAAAGTCATACACGATACGTGACTCAGTGTAAAAAGTCAAAGATACACATGGGCCCTGTGAATGAAATATTAACATTGGAATAAGGTCAAAGTTATCATGCACAAAAATAAAAAGCCCTTGTATGGTGAATATGGTTGTTTTCAATCTGCTGTTGAAGGCGGTGTGCTCTGTTTCGTAGTTGCAGGTATGTCCATTCTTGGATTCTGGACCCACATTTTTTCCTTCTCTTTCTGTAAGTATCTCTTTTCTTCTCAGGAATCAAATCTGAAGACTATTAAAACCAATAAGTGAATCCGATTCTTCTTCTTCCTTCACCAACCATTCAGGTTGGACAGGTGATTTTTCAGTGCTTCTCTTTTATTTGCTTCCTCTGTTTTTAGCTAATAATCTATTTGCTTTCAAATATTCTATCCAATTATGCGCGGAACATGCAAGTAAAAATGATTGTTAATGCTGTGCCTTCTTTTTAACTGGTTTCTGTTCAATTCAGCCACGCCGAAACGTAAGTTTATTATATATTGTTAATTAAAAGGTTTGGGGTCATAAGACTCTTGACAAAATCTTGAGAACAGAGCGAGGCATATTGCAATTCGTTTGTTTGAGTTGCTGGCAGAATGACTTATTTTTGACTGTGTGGGAGAGGTACCGAATTTGAAAAGAAAAAGTTGTTACCCTGATTTGGAGTGTGCTAACCGTTATTGCGCTTGTTATTTGATTTTATTGTTTTTTTTTTTTACGGAATATCTTGTATTGCGAGATTTACGTGGTAGCTTCTTGGAGGTTAGGCTGGATCGTTTTTTTTTTGCTGTGTTTTAACATCCTTTCTTAATATTGGCATATATTGTTCTCAGATTGTTTTTTTTTTAATATTTTAATGTCTGTGGAAAAGAGTTACATAAGATAGGATTAAGATCCCTGTTTCTTCAAATTTAGGTGGATCCGGCTTAGCTGTGGATTTTGGACTGAATGGCTTCCAATTCTACATCTGGAAATGCTTGCCCGGCGCCTATGAAAGCCACATCAAATGGCGTGTTTCAGGGAGACGACCCTCTTGATTTTGCGCTTCCCCTAGCTATTTTGCAGATATGCCTTGTTCTTGTGGTCTCAAGGGGACTGGCATATCTTCTAAAACCCTTAAGGCAACCCAGAGTNAATTTCAATCTGATCATAAATTATCACCTAATACATTACAACAACTACTTTTCAAAAAATTTATACATTGAATCAGATACTAAAACTTTTACATTCATCATAATTATCTCAATAGATTTTGATATATAAATCATGACTCTATTCCACTTGTCAAAAGTTAATTTTATAAAATCAATTCTCGTTATGAGCTTTCGTCTATTTTAATTAATAGAATATCTTTATCTGTATGAGTTAGAATACGAGTATGAATAATTCTTTTTAGACCCTTACCCAATATATCTAAATATTAGAGTGAAATGTTTTATTTTTTAAAAGTCATTTATCGTTTATCACATTGACCTCATATCATCATATAATATTATCAACACATTCACAATTTAACCATTGTTCATACATTTCAAGCAGTTACAATTTTCATAAATGTATTAAATTACTTTAGATGAAATCTCATTAGGCAAAGCGAGGAAACACTGGAAGAAAAATATTTAATATTTGTTAGGTGAGGGTCTTACTCGCTCAACGAATATGACTGCTAAAAGTAATTCACATAAATTCGGACAACGAATCCTATCTTGACAAACGAGTAAGACACTTGCGCCTTCCTAACTTAACAAAAATTCTCTTTCACTTAGCGAAGGTGATACTTTGCACAATGAGTATATCCTCTTAGGTCTCTTTGACTTTGCGAATTATGCTCTTGTTCAGTGGGAGAAACTTTCGTTCAACAAATTTGCATAATTTAAATGTCAATTTATAGCTTGATTTGTTTCCTTGGCTTCAAATAATATTTTTATCCATTTTCAGATATCAAAACTAATGTTTCTAAATAAAAAATATTTTTTTTTTATACCAATTGAACTAGACTTACCAATCTCAAAAGCAAAACATCGTCAAATCACAATTTCACACAATGATATTTTAACAAAGTTATAATAGATTGGTGAATTTGCTCATGTAGTCTTAAATAGTGTTTTTCTTTCATCTTCACAAGTCATAACCAATTTCAACTTATCAAATGTATCATCTAAAATCAATTTAGTAAACTTTATCCATCTTTGAGACCAACACAATCAAATCATAATTACACGTATAAAACTCTAATAAGACTATAAAATCAAACAAACAAAACATCTATTTCTTCAAACCAACCAATTCATGACATCCATCAATTCCAATTAATCAAAGTAGGTTTATATTACCAATAGCTAAAAAAACAATTTTAAACAACTAAGAATCTTTAATCACAAAAAAGACGTAACTGTATAAAAAAAACTCAAATCAATAATTTGATCATAGATCCTAATTGAACATAAGAACTCTTATCATGACCCTGTACATCAAACTAAAGATTAAATTACTTTAAAAAAATAAACAATAACTCATTTTATTTAATAAAGTTAGATGAAAAAGGTAAGTTTCATCATAAAAAATCTTACGCCATGATATTGAAACATATAAATAGAGGATTAAAACAATCTTTAGAAAACGATAAAGAAAAGAAAAAGTTATTCTTTTAAAACTTCTTAATAATAAAATAATCAAGTATTTATTATAAAAACTCTCTTTCTTAAAGCACTTTATAAAGTCTTATATTATATTATTATATTATAATTAATAATTAATAATTAATTTATAAATATTAATAATTTAAGTTATAATATTATTATATTTATATTTTAATATATAAAAATAAAATTTAAGTAATTTTTTATTTAAAACAAATAATTAACAAATCAAAATTGACAAATTTAAAACTCCGAACCAGTGTATTAACTTTTGTCGGGTCAACAAACCAACCGAGAGACTCAATTCGTTTTGTCATTCCTAATATATTCCAACTACATGCAATTTACACTCCTACTTTTATATTTGNCTAATTATCTTAGCTTATATTTTGTAGTTCGTACTACAATTAATAGCTAACGGGGATTGATGCATGTGGTCGATCATTGTTCTCTGATTTGGTTCAACTCATATTTATTCTGTTGTTGGATGGTGTATTTAAATTTTACTGTCAATCCTTGCTACGGTTGTCTTTCCTGACTTTATAAGTGGTGTGCCTTCCCCCTAATTTTAACTTTTTTTCAATAAGAAAATTAAATATTGCTTATTAGTAAGATGTGGTTCTCTCGTTTTTTCTTTTCTTCATTTTAGTGGTTACAAGGAGTTCCTAGCAACTGGGCTTAAGAGTGAGCAATATGACTCGTAGGGATTGAACCTGGCATCAGTTACTTTTTAACCAAGTTGGATTGCTACTAGGTTATGAGGCAATTGTCATGTGTGACCAGAGCTTTTCATGTTCCATATTTATAAAATTTCATAGTCTATAGACTTCACTGTTGCGCTACTCTAAATGAGTCTCACATTTAACGAGAAATCTATCTTTTAGAATGCAATATGATTTTAAACAATGTATAAGTTAGGATAGATGTTACAGGTGCGAAAATGTGTACAATGGTTTTAATGTGTATGACTGCTATTGACAGGGAGGGATACTTCTTGGTCCATCAGCTCTTGGACGGAATAAAAGCTATATGCAGGCAGTTTTCCCACCCAGGAGTATTACAGTATTAGACACTCTAGCAAACATTGGCCTTATATTCTTTCTATTCTTAGCAGGCCTGGAGTTAGATCTTAAATCTCTTCGTCAATCTGGAAACCGAGTCCTTGCTATTGCTATGGCTGGAATAAGCCTACCCTTTGTAATAGGAATTGGTTCATCATTTGTTCTAAAACAATCAATTGCCAAAGGTTCAGATAGTGCCGCATTTCTTGTATTCATGGGTGTTGCTCTGTCCATTACTGCATTTCCTGTATTGGCCCGTATTTTGGCTGAGTTAAAACTTCTAACCACAAACGTTGGCAGAACAGCTATGTCAGCCGCAGCAATTAATGATATAGCTGCCTGGATTCTGCTTGCTCTGGCTGTTGCATTGTCAGGCCATGAGCGATCTCCACTTGTGTCATTGTGGGTCTTCTTAGCGGGGTGTGGTTTTGTCATTTGTGCAATAATCATTGTCCCTCCAATTTTCAAATGGGTGAGCCAACGATGCCATGAAGGTGAACCAGTTGAAGAGGTATACATATGTGCTACATTAGCTGCTGTTCTGGCTGCTGGGCTTGTCACAGATGCTATTGGAATCCATGCCATGTTTGGTGCCTTTGTTGTTGGAGTTTTGCTCCCAAATGATGGACCGTTTGCCAGTGCTCTTGTGGAGAAAGTAGAGGATCTTGTGTCTGGTCTATTTCTCCCTCTCTATTTTGTGTCAAGTGGATTGAAGACTAATGTAGCCACCATAAAGGGGCTGCAATCATGGGGTCTTCTGGCTTTTGTTATATTTACAGCTTCTTTTGGAAAGATTCTTGGGACTTTTGTTGTTTCCCTTCTCTGTAAACTACCTTTTAACGAGGCTCTGGTGCTGGGGTTCTTAATGAATTGCAAAGGCCTAGTTGAATTAATAGTCCTGAACATTGGCAAAGATAGAAAGGTAGTTTCAATTTTCTTGCTCTTAGTGTTCCATATAATCTGTTTAATAAGGTGCACTTTCCTATCTATTACCGTGAAATATTAAAAATATGCATTTCCAGGTTTTGAATGATCAGACCTTCGCCATCATGGTTCTTATGGCTGTTTTCACTACCTTCATCACCACTCCTCTTGTGATGGCCGTGTATAAGCCTGCAAGGAAGGGAGGAATAGCTGACTACAAATATAGAACAATTGGGAGGAAAAATGCAAATAGACAACTGAGGATTCTCGCCTGCTTCCATGGTGCAAGAAATATTCCATCAATGATAAATTTGATTGAGGCTTCAAGAGGAATCCAGAAGCGTGATGATCTTTGTGTGTATGCAATGCACCTTAAAGAATTCTCTGAGAGGTCCTCATCTATATTAATGGTACATAAGGCAAGAAGAAATGGGTTGCCATTCTGGAACAAAGGTTCTCATTCACCTTCTAACCATGTTATTGTAGCGTTTGAGGCTTACAGGCAACTAAGTCAAGTGTCCATCCGGCCAATGACAGCCATCTCATCTATGGCTAACATACATGAAGACATTTGTGCAACTGCTGAGAGGAAGGAAGCCGCAGTCATCATTCTTCCATTTCATAAGCATCAAAGTTTGGATGGTTCACTACATAACACTAGAAATGATTTTCGATGGGTTAACAAAAGAGTACTTGAGCATGCACCATGCTCAGTTGGAATTTTTGTTGATCGGGGGCTCGGTGGTACCTCCCATGTCTCTGCAAGTAATGTTTCTTACCGTGTTACAGTGCTTTTCTTTGGTGGTGGTGATGATCGTGAAGCCCTTGCTTACGGAGGTCGTATGGCTGAGCATCCTGGCATCAGATTGTTGGTTATTCGCTTTGTAGTTGAACCACCTAATGAAGCAGAGATTTTAAGAGTTGATGTGGGTGACTCCTCCTCCAGCACCAAATTAGTCTCACAGGATGAGCAATTCCTCGATGAATTTAAAGTGAAAACAGCCAATGATGACTCCATCAACTATGAAGAGAGAATAGTTAAAAATGCAGCAGAAACAGTTGCTATTATCCGTGAGGTTAATAGCTCGAGTCTGTTTCTTGTGGGTTCAAGGCCAGTCAGTGAAGTTGCCTGTGCTCTGAAAAGCAGTGAATGCCCTGAACTAGGACCTGTGGGTGGTTTGTTGGTATCACAAGATTACCCCACAACAGCATCCGTTTTGGTAATACAACAGTATAACAACGATGGGGCGCCAATAAATTTGACGCCGGAAATGGAGGAACAATTACCCTATCAGGATTCAGGTTCTGCTGCATAACGCTTCTCTTACTGTTTTGGCACACACGTTTGACCTTTTCTGAACTTCATGCAACTTTGCCTTACAGTATATACTTTATAGTTCAAAAATTGACCACGAAACAAATAAAAAAATGTTTGGAATTTAATTTCATTAGGACTGAAATTGATTTAGAATCAATAATTTTACGGTTGGACAGAGTTGTGTAGAGACTTGTGGTGGAAAATTAAGATTATAGCTTCAGTCCAATTCTCTGTCTAGTTTGGTAATAAAATCTACTAGTTGCCCTGTTTAGTTTTTACTTTTCCAGACTTTTACTTTACTCTGCTATTTTTAATCACTTCTGTAATATTTTTCAACTTCCCAAATCATTACAGAACGCATACAACAAATCTAACAGTAGAATATATATATATATATATATATATATATATATATATCCCATGCATTTATTAATTTAAATAGAAAACTCTTTAACTCAAAATTAATGTAAAATTTAACACTGACCTAAGATGTATTATATCTTTAAGATGTTACATGAAATTATACATAAGTTACATATCAATTTAAAATAGTTATCATTCATTTAGTTTCATAATAAAAATAAATACATAAAGAACAACACACTGATTCAATTACAGTTATCTATATGTATGGTTTAACTTCGTTAACATTTAATTTTCATGATTATTTATTTTTCAAATAAAAGATTGCGTGAAAACTCGAAAATATTTTTCAAGTTACTTAAGATTATACAATACAAAATGTATTTCCAAATCCAAAATACATATTTTTACTTTAAGATTGATCAACGTTGAAGTATATTTAGTATTTAATTTTTAGATTATTAATCTAAAAAATAAATTTATAAATTTTATATTGTATAACTTGAAACTCTTTTCGTGAAGTGTTTCCTTTTCATTGTGCAATTTAAAACTCAATTATCATAAATATGAATTTATAATTATGTAATCTAGGATGTTATAATTAATTTTCAATAGTGTAGATAAATGCGTTGCAAATTACTCAATTTAAAAAATATATAAATTGTATAATTTAAAGATAATTAAAAATAATAAGTGTTGCTCACACCATCATTTGAAGAGATTGTATATAAATGAGTTACGGAATCTAGAATATTATAATTAATTTTCAATAAGTGCGTTAGATGTAAAATTACTGTTACAAATTACTTAATTTAAAAACATCTAAATTGCATAATTTAAATATAATTAAAAAGAATAAATGTTGCTCACACCCTTGTTTGAATCATTTGAAAATAAAAAAACAAAAAACTTGCTTAGTAATTAACTTAAACTTCTATAAAAAAATTTACCTTAAATATATATATTTTTTTGAAATCCAACATTCAAAGCAAAAATAGAAAAGTAAAGACCCAGATAACATCAAAGGAAGTTTTTAATTGGAATGACAAATGAATCTGACTCATGAGTACTGACTTTATATGTTTCAATTTTGTTAAGGAATCCTCTTATTCATTGGTTAAGAGTATTAGTATCTAGTATATGTTTCTTTAAATTAGGTATGTGGACACATAAGGACTATACACGTACCCGTTTCGTCATGTTCTTGACTCATTATTATCTCTGTTTTAAAGTCCTAAAATACCTTTAATTTATCATTTAGTATTAGAATTTTATAATAACTTTTCTTTACTTTTTAGTATGTAACTAATTTTGAAGACACATTTGACTAATTTGACTATTTTATATTATTATTTAATATTTATTCAATCCTTATTTAATTATAATTTTTTTATTGATATCTGATGTTGGAGAGAAAAATATTATTTTTAGATTAGAGATAAGTATGAGATGATTTAACTCATACGTGCTCGCTCCGTTGCCCTCTTTAGTTTTGGAGGTTGAATTTGTAGTATAACAGAGGGCAAAGTTGTCATTTTAAAAAAGGGGGGTGCAGTAGAAAAATACGTGGGCGCATCCAAAACTGTATAAATAAGAATCAATTTGGGTTCCGATTGAGCCCAGAAATCGGTGAGAGCACTGACGGTTACTTTAGAAGAGAGAGAATCAAGTTGGAAAAGATCATAAGCAGGAGCAGTTGGTTGGTGAATGGTGGCGCGAGGCTTATCATCAACGAAGCCAGAAGCTGAGCGAACCGCCACAGAAAATAGAAATGCACTCTCTCTCTCCGACACACACCTTCCTACGCTCGCATTCACTCTCTTCCTTCACATCATCTTCTTTTCTTCTCCTTCTTCCTCCTTCCACTCTTCGCAGCTCTAAGAGGCTGCAATTCTCACCCTTCGCCACCTCTTCTCCAATTCCCCCAAATGAAACCAAATTCCAAACGCAGGGATTCTCTCATTCTTGCAAGAATTCCAACGATTCACCCGAATCACTTGCTCGAATCTCCAATTGGAAATTTCCCTTAGCTCCAATTGCTCATTCTAATTTATCCGTCAGGCTTCTCAAGTTTATGATGCTCTTCGGCTTCCTCACACTTAAACACTCATATCCCGCTCATGCTGCCTCTGACTTTTCCAGTGCTTTCAGTTTATCTCCTGCATTTGGGGATTTTGATGACATAAGCACAGGTTTTGCTTCAGTTAGGAAAATCTCCCTGCCACTTTTCTAATTCCAATGTTTTACAAAAAAAGAGCATAATTTCAAGTACCGCAATTCGTTGCAGTTGACTGTGGAAAATGCAGTTTTTTGTTACTCTTATTCAACATTTATTGTTACTTTCTTGTTTGCTACCAGTTACAGATTTACATTGTACTCTTTCTGTTATTTTTTTTCACCATTTTAAGTAAAATGATTACGTTCACTTGGATTATGTTGCTCAAAGACTAATATACTTTTTATTCTTTTATGCCTTGTCACAGGCGTTTCTGCTGATATTTTTCTCTGAACTGGGAGATAAGACCTTTTTCATTGCAGTAAGTACACAGAAATCGTCAACGATACGACCCGACCCCGGGGATTTGGGAATTTGATGTTGTAATTTGTATGCAGGCCCTGCTTGCAGCTAGGAATACAGCTGGTGTTGTTTTTATTGGGACGTTTAGCGCACTTGCGTATGTTTTATCGTTTCATGGTGATTTAGATTTTCTTGTTTATTTTTGTCTTGATTGATTGCGTTTTTTGGACAGTTTAATTTTTGTACATATCAATATTTTTTTATCAACTAATAAAATATCAACATGACTTGTTAATTAATTTTTATAGAAGTCAATCGGTTAATTTGTGATTAGATTTTACACTGCCGACACTTTCTAATTAAACTGTTTTATAATTAGTCGCCATGCATGCACGTCCACGTAAACACTGGTGAAAATATTTTCACATCATAGAACAATCAAAATCCTGCAGGGAGTTGGCTTGTGAACAATATTAGAAGACTTTAATGGATTTCTTCATATACCTTCTGGAATGGGAAGGCGAAGTGGTGTATTTGTACAGAATTCTTCAAGCTTATATTTCTGTCTAGAAGTCAAATAATCGCATAAAAAAGTACAGAGTGACACTTTTATAAAGGCCAAATATTCTAGATGATGCACGTGTCTTCAAATTATTGATGTTTAGTATTTATTTGCTATTGACAGGGCAATGACTCTGATCTCTGTTGTCCTTGGGAGAACTTTTCATTATGTTGATGAAATCTTGCCATTCAGGTTATTTTCTTTATTTCGTAGAAATATTTATGAACTGTAACTATAAAATAAGTTATGTGACTTGGTCATACTGGGATAGTGAAAATAGCCCTACTCATTCTTCACATTCTACAAATAATAAATTATAGTTCCATGCGAAGTTTCATGTTGTTGATGGTGAACATTGTACATGTTACGGTCTGAAAATAATTCACATTGTTGTTTTTCATCTTGTAAGAACCTTTTGTCAATCATGAATCTGTTTTTATCATAATATAATGCCACTCTGTCATCTTGTAAGAACCTTTTGCAAAAAATTTATTACTTTGCCATGCATACATGTCTTTAGTTTGTTGAAAGTTCCTTGGTTTATATAAATATCTATACTTGTCTTCTGTGCCTTCCTTTGGGCTTGTGTCTTAAACCATGTAACGTTAAGGCATAATTTGACTATGAACGACTTTTCAAAAACTTCACCTCATGGGTTGCTTTGTGCAGGTTTGGAGAAACAGATTTACCTATTGATGATATTGCTGCTGTTTGCCTATTGGTAAATATCACCTTCCTGTTTAGTTATGCGCTGACAGAGTGATTTTAGATTAACCCTCTCTTAAGTAATACTGAATTGACTTCAGGTGTACTTTGGGGTCTCTACCCTGCTGGATGCCTCATCTAGTGATGGCCAAAAATCAGATGAAGAGCAGAAGGAGGTAATATTTGATATCTATTTATC